TGTCAGCCATAGATCAGTAAGAGTTGGGATCGGTCTAAGCCACGATTGATGTGGCCCCCACATTGTCAACGACAAGACATTGTAGTTGCTGTTGCTGTTGTTGCAGGCAGCTGGCAGCTGACATACCCAACAATTGGGCAACAAATTTGTTTGATGCATTAAGTAACTGACATGCTCAGCATCTGCTTACAACGCATGTCAAAGTTTTGGGGCACTTTGATTGAACTCCCTCAGCACACGCACGGACACCGAATTGATTAATGGCGTTCGAATGGCTGGGAAATGCAGGAACATTTCTTGATTACTGAAACCCTCGGCTTTTAAACCCGCCTAATAACCAACCATTTGAGGCCCCGCACTGAAAAGTGTAAAGAGAGTTGGGCAAGGACAAAGAAAACTCGATTACTCTTTGGGAACAAACATTTTGACAATGGGACAGGTTTGGTCAAAAATCGACAATGGAGGAATAGCGGGAGTGTAGTACTTGTTCAGCTTCATGAGATATACGCGTTCAAACAGACAAACAAACGGACGGACGGACGGACGGACGGATACAGGCTCATGAGAACGGGTGAATCGATTCGTCGTGCTTATCAAAAGAATAAGCACTTTTTGGGACTCTTCGTGTGTGTTGTATGTGGCATAATAGCTTCTTGCCACATATGGGGATGGGTAGTTATGACAACGCAGCGTATCAAATCCAATCGAATCGGATATAGCTTGTATCAATATCAGCGGGACAGCACACACACACACACGCATACACACTCAAACGCACACAAACTCAATTCAATTAGCCAATTACGCATGCCAATTGCAATGACCGAATGCTGACATTGGTAATTACATATCGATGTCGTAATTTGCAGTTATTATTGCTGCTGAATTGTAATTTGCAAAGTGGAGCGTTGCCTGCTGGCCTGCCGGTCTGCCGCTCAAGCTGCTGAAGCTCAAACGGAAGTTACACAAGTCAAGTGCAGAGCACACGCATGGGAGAAGCAGTTGGTTGGTTGGTTGTTGGTTCTATCTATTATTATGGCTGGATAGCAACAACATCCCATTGATAAGGCCAATAAAAATTGTCAGCATTGGCCAATTAATTTGCAATTGTTGTTCAGCAGAAGCAACGGGGCCAACCAACAAGTGCCAATCAAAACGGAAGTTCCGCATGAGCTTGGCAAGGCGTGTGCGTGTATATACTCCTATGTTATGTAGTCAGTGCGAACATATATACATATGTATATAAATATATATGTATATGCATTGCTCCTTTAGGCTGCGTAAGTCGGAAACAACGTTTCCCCAGCTTTGTGTGGCTACTTCCGTTTTCATTGATAGCTCATTTTCTTGCCTTAAGCCCTCGCCCTGTGTCCAGAGGCGCCGGGAAGTTCAGCGTTGTTTGTTTTAGCAGCGTTATTGCTCTTATTATTATACTGGTATATCTAATTGAATAATGGCAGCGCGCACAGAGCAAGGTTTGCGAAATCCTTCAGTCACTGATTTTATGATTATTTTTCTCAACTAATTATGTGACCGGAACTAAGAACTGAGAAGATTTCGCAATTTGAAATCAGTTGCCGACTAATTTGTTGCGTGGCTTTTATGCACCGCGTTGGCTGCATAAATAAAAATTATTTAAGAAAATTATTCAAGAAATGAATTTTATAATTATTTGGCATTTTGTGAGAATTATATCGATATAGCTCTCAAGCTAGTATTCAAGCAGCTCTTCAAGAAGCTGCCAAAGCTTTTACCACCGTTGATCAAATAAAACCAAGACATGTTTTAAGTTCATTATCTTTCTTCCAGTAGTTAAAACATGTCAACTACAGCTCAGCTAAAAAGAGTTCAAGCAAACAAATATATGTAGCCCACAAAAATGTGCCAGACTGAATTTAAATTCAGCATTTTGTTGCGACGTGTTCTACGAGTATGACTTGCGATCACAATATAATATAGTAAGTAGTCACTATCTAAGTTCCATTTAAGTCGCCTTGAAGCGTAATTTATGTGAACTATAGTTAATCAAATAAATATCTACCTTAAGGCCTCGTAGCTTTAGCTAAATACTTGTAGTTCTGTATATTTTACATGGCAAATAAATAAAAAATATATATATAGTAAATCATTGATATTGTCTCTGCATTATAGTATTATAGATTAAAATACAAGTATATCATTGACATATCAAATATGTGAATAAAATAATGCAAGCTGAATTATTCTGCTCCAAAGCAGTCGACAGCAGCTTCGTTTTAAAACAAAACACACAACTTTTCTTTTGGTATTTGCATCAGATGTCATAAAAGATTCATCATAATTGTAGCAAGTAGATAGATACTTGAAAGTACATAGATAGATAGATGGATAGATATGGATGGACAGATAATTAGGTAGATGGATGGATAGACAAATTCCCTTCATATTTTCCAGCACTGGCAACAACCTTTCAATTAACTGTGAGTGTGCGGTCTGCAAATCTAAGAATTGTGGCTACATTCACATTCGCTTCAATTAATTGGCGCTTATTGAACGCATTCTCTGATTCAATTAGGGCACAGTTCTTAACCTCAATTCGATGATTACAATGCTTTGGGTTAAATGCTTAACATTTCTGAAACTAATAATGAAATGATTATAAAAGAACACTACATTCTTTGTCGTGGTCGTTGCCATTGGCATTGCCCCGCCTAATTTGAATTTTATTTTATTTATTTATTTTCTGTTTTCTGCCTGGTCAATTAGTTTTGTGTTTGGGGCTTGAATAAGGCTCAGCTCGCAGTAGCCAAAACGCTGGCGGGCAACGGCAACTCCACCATAATAATTTATTGCTTACGTATAGAGTGAGAAAATGTTGTTTTTTCTTTTAATAAAATATTAAAATGTGCGTCAGTATTTGGTTTGATTTGGAAAAGCCATTTTCTTTTTATTTGGCTTGGAGTTTGGAGCACGTGCCACACACGGCGATCACTTTCGAAACTGGGCCTGAACACTAACTGTAACTGCCGTGAGCCCACACCTGTTCTCTCCTATCTATGTAATGCGATCTCAAGCCAATGACACCACCAAGAGAGACTTGAGAACATTTGTTGCCATTGGATTTGCTTTCTAGTGTCGTAGGTGGCTGACGTTGCGATCGGCAACCATAGAAGTGTGTACGCGAGTGTGTGATGTGGAGCGTTGATTGGAAGCTTGCAACTGACGTTGCAGCCCGTCTCTGCCTCTGTCTCTGCCACAGCTTGCACAATTTCGTGCACTGGAAGGGGGCTTGGAAGGAGGCTCGTTGGTCTAGGGGTATGATTCTCGCTTCGGGTGCGAGAGGTCCCGGGTTCAATTCCCGGACGAGCCCATTCCTCTAATCGTCCTCTTTTTGTCGATTTTTTATTTCGTCTGCATTGTATATAAATTATATATAAATAAATTTGAAGCAATAAATCAATTAACATTTTCATTTTGAAAACACCAGAGTTGCTTAAGGCTTGAAATGCTCGTTTGGATACCTTTTTACTGCCATTTGCTTGCACCTGTTCCAGCCCATGACAGATGCCAACAACTTGCGCTGTCGTATCCCTCCGTTCTTCCGCAGACGCCCTCTTCCAAGTTGTCACAGTACATGGGCTCTTTAATTTCGTTCAACTTCTTGTTGGCGGTTGAAATGACTTAACACGTCTAGCGGTTCTTTTCGCTTAATTTGAACATTTGCCGCTGTGCTGGCACGTTTCTCTGGCGGTTTTTCGCCAGCCGACGAGTTGTGGCAGCCAAGTTCGTGCTGATGAGTCAGTTGCCTAAATTCGAGCGACGCTTTGTGGCAGGAAGTGCAGCCAAGTGTTGGGAGCTGGAAGCGCGTCAAGCGTTCTGCTGAGGTGATTTGTGGGCGTGGGAAGAGAACATAATGGTGGCACAACAAATGAGTCATCTTCATCATCACATGCAGCAAGAAGTTGAACAAATTTCGAAAGTATAGTAAATGAAGGGCCTTTGGATGATGTCTCTACCTATAGTACAAAACAATACAATAAGTATGTGTATAACTAACAGTGGATAGACTTTTAAATTTATAATTAAATTACGGGCAGCAACACATCGTCAGGTCATTTTTTGTTCATCACTCAATAGCTGGAAATAAAGTCTAAGAACCAAAAGAAATTCCATGAAACGTAAGCATAAATTAATCGGACTCCATAGATTCCTCTCTGTTTTGTATAGAAAACTAATTTTATGAGCTGAGTTGAACTTTTTTAAGTCTGTTAACGAATTATATATATGTTGTTTTATTTATTTATAGTTAACGAAAAAATATTAAATATATATATACATATATAAAAAAACAATAATAATACCAACAAAAAAATTTAAAAATATGCCAAAGAACTCAAGATATTATTTAGTATAACTAAGAAAGAAATTCAAAAAGTGAAATAAGTAGAAGAGTAAGATAGGATTAGAGATAGTTTGAATCAAGGTGGAAGTAAATTGAAAATGAAATAGTCTGAATGGAGTGTTCGAAGGATATGTTGTCAGAAAAAGGATTATAATTGGAACACAACACACGAAAGGGTTCATGTAAGGCAGAGTTAGATCTACAAATTGGCAATCGAGGAGTGCGAAGGGAACTTCCATATCATACATATAGTAAATAGCTTTCCACAACTTAAAAAACAAAACCTTTCCATCTCGATATGGTTTCAAGTAAGAATCCGGTTGATAAACACCACAGTCCACCTCTAATATATATTTTATTTTTCTTTGCAGGTATGTACCTAAGATAGTTACTCCTTTAAAATATTTAACCGAGGTAAGTTAATTGCAAGTGGATCATTTGACTGTTTAGAGAGACTGTCTGTAAAAAGCTTGCTAATGACTGAGATTAGCATTATACGGCCAGAATAGTAGCTAGAATAGCTGGTTAGGGTTTCGGCAAAGTTGTCTGCCCACATCGTAAAAAGATTGTAGGAATTTTGAGCATCAAATCAGTTTCACAGGAAAAAACTAATTCGAGAAAGATGTCAGAATTTATACAAATCAACAAGCTGAGACTGAGCCTCTAGTACCAGGCCACAAAGTAGCGACGCGGGCGGGGCTACATGGCTTGTGGCCAGAATGAAATTTGGCAAGACCTTTGAGAGTCATCTGACCATAGAGTGGCGTCAGCAGTATATGCAATATACGGTGAGTCTCAGATGCACGTCCATGGTGCCGTTTGATCATCTTTATCTCATTGCCTTACACAAGGAGTTGAAAGACATGATTAGTGAGGCCATGGATCGGGCGCCAAATCCGGAGGTATCCACACCATACGAAATCAGGTCTTACTATAGGGCTTTCGAAGAGCAATTCTTTCGCGCGTGCCACAATGAACTGACACGTGTGAACAACTTTTTTCTGGAGAAGCTGGCGGAAGCGCGACGCAAGAACGCCACGCTCAAGCTCCAGCTGATGACAACGAATCGAAGCAGCATCATCTCCTTGCATAAACAGCACTCGGACTCCTACAATCGCAAGCCAATGACCCAACGACAGCTCCGCTACGCCTACAGCGAGTTCTACCTAAGCCTGGTGCTGCTGCAAAACTTTCAGACCCTGAATGCGACGGGGTTTCGCAAGATTTGCAAAAAATTTGACAAGAACTTGAAGTCAGATCACGGTATTATCTGGTACCAGCGCAATGTAGCCTGGGCACCCTTCACTAATCGGGTGCCCCTGGAGCGTATGATCACCGAGGTTGAGGATATGTACACGCAATATTTGGCCGGTGGCGATCGAACACTGGCGATGAACAAACTACGCGTGCCCCCATTGGGCGAGCCAACGGCCCCCGATTTGGTCTTTAGAGCGGGTCTCGCCCTGGGAATGTTCATCATGTTCGCTGTAGTGACGATGGTGTCGTGTGAGTGTCGAATACGTTCTTAGATCATAACGCTCATGTCAGGCATACTTCCCGATCATCGCAGATATGAAGTGCAAGCCAGGACAGGGTAAGATCGAGGCGTTCATGCGACTCTACCGTGGCCCCTTCACCTGGGTTATATTCAATTTTTATATGGCTGCCAATGTGGCTGGCTGGCAGCGGGCGGGTGTTAACCATGTGCTGATTTTCGAGATAGATCCCAGACACCATTTGCAGCCGGCAACATTTCTGGAAATTGCCTGCACATTTGGCATACTCTGGGCATTGTCCATCTTGGGATTTCTTTTGCACAACATCATGTATGTAGACGATCCCTTTGTGTTTCCATTGGCGCTTACGCTGATTATGATCGCTATGTTATTCCTGCCGCTACCCATACTCAATTGGCCGGCCCGCTGGTGGACCATAAGGCTGGTGGGTCGAGTGATCGCAGCCCCATTTTATTATGTGGGCTTTGCCGACTTCTGGATGGGCGATCAGATGAACTCCCTGGTCATATGCATGGCCGACTACTACTATATCATGCGATTTTACGTAACCTGCTGGCTTCGGTATTACGATGTGGACTTTTGCTTTGCCGAGGATATATTTGTGCCGATTTGTCGCTGTCTGCCCGCCTGGTTCCGGTTCGCGCAGTGCTTGAGACGCTTTCGGGACAGTGGCTCCAAGTCTGTGGTCTACCTGCTTAACGCTGGCAAGTACTCGACCACCTTCTTTGTGGCCGGCTTCGCGACCCTGCGCATACAAACGGAACGTAGGTCGAGTTGTGGCTGGGGCTGGGGCTGTGCTTAGGGGTCGTGCGTTTCAAGTACCTTAACTTCTTTGCAGATAAGTACAAGAATACGTTCCAAAATCCCTTCACTTGGGCCTATCTGGGCAGCTATGTTGTCTCGACCGTCTACTGCTATCTGTGGGATGTGCTGAAGGATTTTGGTCTCTTTCAGATCTGGAAGGGCGAGCATTTGTTTTTGCGCGACAAGCTTGTCTACCCGCAGGTGAGCGATTTGGCTGTGCAAAATAGAGCTGGGAAACTAACGATAGTTCCGTTGCTAGTTGCGATGAATCAAGAAGCAATTGAATGCTATAATTTCGATCCTATTAAGGGGTCCAGGGAGTAGTTGCCCAGCTCTAGTGCCTCTTCGTCCTCTCTTTATATCGAGGCATTCCTGTTGCAGTTCTTCTATTATTTTGCCATTATCGAGGATGCAATATTGCGCTTGTTCTGGGTCGCTGAGTTCATAATACTACACAACAATGTGATGACCCCCTACAATTGTAAGACCATCGGCAGCATTTTGGAGATCACGCGGTGAGTGGTGCGAGTGCTTTTCAGGAACCCTCCCCTCCTTATGGCTCAGTTATTGTACCTCACAGTCGCTTCATTTGGAACTATTTGAGATTGGAGAATGAACATTTGAACAATTGCGGACATTTCCGAGCAACACGCGACATATATCTGGCCACTCTGAATCCACAGCAGGAGCGCCTTCTCGAGAACATGATGGACGAGTCGGATAGTGTAACCAATCGCAAGCCGCATGACGAGCGCACAAAGCTGGCCAAGGAGTACTTCTAGAGTCTGTTCCTGTCTCTTCGCGATGATGATGTTGCTGTTTTCTTTTGTTTTTGTTTTTTTTTGTTTTTGCACCAACAACAAAAAGGAGCCACGCGTCCACAGCTGCCGTTAATGTTAATGGCCGTTGCTGTCGTTTAAGCCACTTTAATTAATTCATTTGCTTTGTCTGTCTCCCTCTGTATTTGTTTGCTAAAAAGTACAAAAAATACAACAACAACAAAAAAGTAAAAGAGGAGCGCAGCCGTCGCTTAACATGCAGCAGCAGGCTTAGCTCTGGCACACGCCAAACCGGTTGTCCGCCAGCTGCACCCAAATACGGAACGATTGTCGCTGCCACCTCTCCAGCTCTCCAGCTCGCCAGCTCGCCAGCTCTCCACCTCATGCGCCTTCCCAAGCTCTTCAGCGCCTGCATGACACATTTGTGTTGGGCAGCCAGAGCATCGGTCTGAGCAGCAATTGTCATTGCATAAGGAACAACAACAACAACCACAACAACAATATCGACTTGGCCAATTTGCGGACTCGATCGCGATCGCGATGGAGATGGCGATGGCGATGGCGTCGTTAAGTATCAGGAAAGTTGTTAGATCTTTTAATTACCACATGTTGAGCTTTGATTTTTTAATTAGCGTAACGATTAGCAGCAGCATAGGCTGCCCGGATAACAGAAATGCAATGGCAGAGCTGCGTTAACTCCACTTAGCACTCCAAGTGCAGTGCTGAAGACAACAACAAACTCACTTATTGAAGCTGAGAGAGAGAGAGAGAGAGAGGGGAGGGCAGAGAAAGGCTTGTTAATTGAATGTGTAAATTGCAGAGAGATCTGTTGGCGTCAAGTTCTTCTATCCTGCACATTAGTCCGGGTGCTATCTGAAAGATCATAAGCTGGAAGGAGGACAAGAGAAGTGTACGAGTCCAGACAGTAAATAATTTCCCTGCCACAAGGCTGCAGATGTGTTCATTTGGCTAGAAAACCCAATAGACCTATGCTCTGATAAGTGATAGCTACTTTCTGATAGATATAGTATGATTCATGATAACATATAAATCAGCTCTTGGACATCAATTTAGGTTAAGCTTGATATCATTTACATTATCCATGGAAGAGTTCAGAAATGGCTCGATTTGTGCTAACTTGATTTGCTTAGATGTCAGGGATATATAAAGAGATCGATGTGCTTATACTTAGGAAAAGATTCTGTGGCCAGTAATTATTATTCGAAATTTTATAATCAAATCACAGTGAAAAACAATTAATAGCTAGTGGTCTTTTTTTAAACCAATTGCCATGTTTCTAGAGTCTTTCTACGAGTTTTTTAATTCTACTTAGAAATTGGTATACCAGCCATGGAATAATTGCCTATTAAGTCGCGTTTGGTCCTTTTTATGGCCATACCATTTTGTTTGGTGGGTAATTGGAGAGAGGGGAGCCTTTCTATTGGCCATTGTGACTCCATTGGTCTTTTAACTTATGATTGATTTGCTATCCTACACAGTAAGATTACCTAGCAACTCATTTAATATGCAATGCTAGACAGCTTGAAAGTCCCACAGCTGGCCTCTCCCCTCAGCTCTCTCCTCCTCCCCCATGATGTACATTGGATCTTGGATGTTTTAGGCTTTGTCCATCGGTCTGGCCATTTAGCCCCTGCAGACTGTTGCGACGAAGAGTCGTTAGTATCGGCGGCCAGTAGCCAATTAGATGATGACGATGACTATCAAAACTGGCGATAACTGTGCGCTTGCGAGCGTCGTTGCTGCCACTGCAACGGCAACCTTAGCATGCGGTAGACTGTCTGTGTTGGTGGTGTGCTTGTTGCTGCGGCCGATGTTATTTATTGAGGCAACCGCTTAGGCACGAGTCAATCATAAATTTGCCATTTAGACATGGCGTCGGAAAGTTGTTGTTATTGCTGCTGCTGCTGCTGATGCCACTGTCGTTGTTGTTGTTGTTGGTAATGAGAGAGCAACAACAATTTATGTTGCAACGTCAGCAACAACTTTTGTCTGCTGACTTGGCATGCGGCGATTGCACACAGGATGCATTCAAGTGGCAGTCATGCTCACCACACATGATCATCATTGAAAGTTGTTGATTGCTTCATGTTGTCGCTCCACCGTTTGCCGGCAGACTTGCAACATTAGGCTTGTCCTAAAATCGCACTTAGATTTGCCTTCTTTCCGGACTCGCAGACGCTCAAACATTTGCACAAATGTGTCCAAATTGTTCATACTTGTATGGCACCAACTAGAAACAAAGTGCGCCACTTCTTGGCCAAAACACGCTCTTTTGGTACAGTTTTCTAGACACACACACACACACACGCCCAGATGCAAACAACCACGCGCTATGAGCAAAATAAACAGACAAACAGGCCAGAGAGATAGTGAGACAAATAAACAAATCCTAAGCACTCCAAAAACAGCAAACAAAGCGCGCGCTCGAACCAAAAACAGCAAAGGAGGGGTAAACGGGAAAAGGCTTTGAACATGGGCCAAACAAGGCTTAACTGCCAGGGCATTCGATCGTACAAGTACATATACATACATACATACATACTATATAGTAGTATTTGCACACAGCAAGAAATAATTAGTTGGCCAAGAAAACATTTAAGATGTTACTCGTACACGCGAGTAAGTTGGATTTCAATGCATTTCTCTGAACTTGAATTGAAGAAATGCATAGGTTTGACGAGACGGATTGATATAGACATTAATAAATAGACGTTTATATTTATTTATTTATTTAATTGACAAATAACTGTCAATGTTAAACATAAAGAAAAGAAATAAACTAGATATACATTCAAAAATTGAAAAAAAACATTAAAAATAAAAATTTAAATTAAATAGAATTACAAACGATTTAAAGAGATTCAGACCGAATCAGGAAATTAAGTAAGCAAGATTTAATCGAACAAACCGACCTCTCATGGCCTCAGAGATGACTCAAATTATTGTAGTTGCTACACAGAACCCGAAACGGACTGTGCCTAAATCGCTGTACAAGCAACTATGCTTTATGGGAACAAAAAATCTTGAAGGTCTTTGTGGTACCGTAAAGTTAATTTGGCTGACAAGCACCGAACACTCGATGTCGGCGGTAATTAATTTATGTATAAAAACAACACCTAATAAAATCCGGCGGTTAGCAAGTGATGGAAGACCTAACAATTGTATATATATAGAGCTGTCGGTTGCTTTCTGTGCCAAATTTTAAGTGCAGTCTTTCAATATAATATTAGAGCATATGCTTGTAATTCAATTTCAGCTAGATCGGCCTACTATATCATGCTCGTATATGAAGAACGTTAATTAGATAATACACAGGTAACAATTAATTGCTTTATTATGGCTCCGTTGGCTCAAATCTCAATTCCCAGAATATCCTATTTGGATTGTGGCTTTAAAATCCGACAGGCTTTTTTAAAGTGGCTGTTACTTAGAAAGTTGTATAAGATATAAGACTCTGATGTACATACTTGTATTTACAACATACTTGTGGTCTATATTTTTCATCTGGTCACGTTGAAAGAATTCATTCGCGACTGCCGTCTTTATTATTGTTGTACAAAGAGAAAAGTTAAAGTACGATTAAGAGTAGGTCCTGGAGATCACTGAAATAAAATCAAACTCTAAAACGTGATTTCCATTTCCATATGAAGTGTTAGGAATTGAAAAAGCTCCACTGAAATGTATTAATACAGAGAACAATAATTTCTTCCTCTGTGAGAATGGCTAGATATGGCGGGCAAGACATTGTAGCTGCATGTATCGTAGGTGTACGTGTGTGTGCTTGTTCGATAACAACTGCATTTGTTGCAGAGGTGCATGTTGGTGTTGTTGAAAAATGGCGCGCAAATCTGCGCGCGCAATTGCCAGCAACTAACAAACAAACAACAAACTGGCTGGCGGTACAAAGTCAGAAAAACTATTTTTGGTAGGGACGACAACAACTAGTTGGACGCCCTTCTTGTTGCTAAAAAAAAAAAAAAACACAGCTGAGCTGAGCTGAGGCTGCGCATCTAAATTTAGCAGGGATGATGACGATGAAGATGATGCTGCTGCTGCTGTTGCTGTTGCTGATATTGTTGATGTTGCTGTTGCTGTTGCTGTTGCTGCTGCTGCATCATCAACAACATCATGCACAAAAACCGGCTCTGCTCCTTTTCCTGGTTCAAGTTTTATCAGCATAAGCTTGCACATATAAGCACACACATATTATATACTATATTTGTTGCGTATATACATACAATGTAGGTATATACTTATATACTTTTAAATGTATTTTGTATATAATGTATATGAACAACACGCGCCGGACTCCTTGCGCCGTCGTGCCTTCTTGTAGTGTCTTGTGCCTTTCGTCTCAGCGGGGATTTGGCTTCTTACTGCTCATAAATTTATGTGGCAGTCTTTTGATTGCTTTTATGCTGCCGTGGCAAGCTGCAGCTTTTAAGCCATTTATTTTGCAGTTTTTGTTGCTGTTTGCGGCCGTTGCTGCCCCTGCTGTTGCCTGTTGCCTGTTGCCCATTGTTGTTAATTTGTGCGCATAAATTGGCTGGAAAGGCAAAAGCTGCCAAGTTCTATGGCAACTATCATATAATGCTCACTTGGCCACTTGGCACTCACTTGGAAAGTTTCTTAATTTGTGCAGCTGCCCAATACACACAATACACACATACATGCACACTCCTATATACTTGTATATGTTCGTATATGTTCTAAGCATAATGATTATGAAAGCAAACTTTGAGCTAACGAAGCGTTATGTGCAATATTCCTATACTTATGTATATTCATCTGAGCGATTAAACCTATTAACTACATATGGTTTCTTTCTTTCTAACCTGAAACAGAAGAACTGTTGATAATTAAAAAAAGCATAAGTAATAACAAAGATAATTACATTTTAAATAAATAGAAATAGAATGGAAAAAGATCTCTAAGAAACAAAAAGATTTTTAAGATTTTTAAGATCGCTTAAAAGAGATGGG